GAGTCCATCAGAACTTTCAATCCAAATTGAAATATCTTTACCAACGAAAATTTTATACCACTTTTTTTAGTCCTCACTTTTCAAAGTAACTCATTTTAATGTGCTCTTCCTTTTGCACGTCATCCATCTACATTAAATACTTTCAAGCTAAAAGAGCCATAAAACATCGATTGATTTAAACATCCAACATCCTTTTTTTTCATTTGATTTAACTTACTTACTTAGCCTTTTTGTCTCAGGTGAAAATATTTCCCTTTGCACACACCGTTCATTTCACAGTCTTTACATCCTGACAGTGTGGTCTGTTGGTCCACCACCTCAAAGCCAGAGTTGTATCTTTATTTCCAAGACAGAAGATTTGACAAAATATGATTTTGTCTTGTTAAATGTGACAAAGTAGATGTCAGCGTGAGGAATTATCAGTCATGAAAGGAGCAACATCAGCATCGCTGAGTGACAAAGAGAGTTGGATAATGTGATTGTCTTTCTCCACCATGCTCTACAAAGATGAGAAAAAAAGAGGCGGGGGCGGGGGGGTCAATCAGCCTTGCAAATGGGAAAGGAAGGACACAAAGCAAGTTGACTGGAGGAGCTAACCGGTTAGAAATGATTGAGTGCGAGGAGATTCGCACCAGAGTGTCCCCACTCAGCAAACAAAGAGAGTGCAATAAGCAGGCTGGAGTGATCAAATCTGTCGCCAGCTTTAAAAATCATTGAATCTTTGTTGATTTTTTTTATTTATCTATTTTTACATTGGCAGAAATTTCCATCCAATCAGCATGATCAACTTTACCCCTGCAAACTTTTATACCGAGTGCAGGTTTTGGAATGAGCTTGTCTGTAAACAGACTGAGACATTTTCTAGAAATTTCATAGCAAACAAGATCTGGTTCTTGGGCTGTTTTACAATTGTTTGAGATTGCATGTTTTGCTCTYTTTTATGAATGGTATTAGTTTAAAACATTGGGAATTTATGTGTAAATTTGGGTTCATACCTTTGTTTCCCAATGCCTATGTTGGTTAATACTGAAAGTAATACCAGATGCTTGGCCTTCAATTTTTAAACAAATTTTAAAAAATGAATTACAGTACAGATATTTTACTGGGTGTCTTAGGTACTGGATAATATAGGCACTGGAGAACATTGGTACTGAATAACATAGGTACTGGATAACATATGAATTGGAAAACAGGTACTAGAGAACATAAGTACTAGGGAACATAGGTAGGCAACTGGATAACATAGGTACTGGATAACATAGGTACTGGAGAACATAGGTAACTGAATAGCATAGGTACTGGATAACATAGGTACTGGAGAACATAGGTACTGAATAGCATAGGTACTGGAGAACATAGGTACTGAATAGCATAGGTACTGGAGAACATAGGTACTGAATAGCATAGGTACTGGAGAACATAGGTACTAGAGAACATAGGTAGTGGGGAACATAGGCACTGGGGAATATAGGTACTGGGGAACATAGGTACTGGGGAATATAGGTACTGGGGAACATAGGTACTGGGGAACATAGGTACCACAGAACATAGGTACTACAGAACATAAGTATTGGGGAACATGGGTACTGGGGAATATAGGTACTGGGGAACATAGGTACTGGGGAACGTAGGTACTACAGAACATAGGTACTAGAGAATATAGGCACTGGGGAATATAGGTACTGGGGAATATAGGTACTGGGGAACATAGGTACTACAGAACATAGGTATTACAGAACATAGGTATTGGGGAACATGGGTACTGGGGACCATAGGTACTAGAGAACATAGGTACTGGAGAATATAGGTACTGGGGAATATAGGTACTGGAGAACATTGGTACTAGAGAACATAGGTACTAGGTATTGGGGAACATGGGTACTTGGGAACATAGGTACTAGAGAACATAGGTACTAGAGAACATAGGTACTGGGGAATATAGGTACTAGAGAACATAGGTACTAGAGAACATAGGTACTGGGGAATATACAGTAGGTACTAGAGAACATAGGTACTAGAGAACATAGGTACTAGAGAACATGGGTACTGGGGAATATAGGTACTGGCACTAGAGAACTTATAGGTACTGGATAACATATGTACTGGAGAACATAGGTACTGGATAAAATATGTATAATTGTTATTTAGGTATTTCTAGTCATAGTTCTAATGAATGTGTCATCTTCATCCACCACAATCAATGTGCGTTTAAAAAAAGTTTCACCTGAATACTTTTTATGTTCAGGTCCTGCATCATGTATATTCTAACCCAGCAGCTGATTTGAAGTATTTTTGGTTTTAAAAATGCCTTTTACCCTTACAGAGTGACAGTATGTAAGGGTATGTTTTGTTAAATGTCTTTGGCAGTTTATGTTTTAAAAAATGTGTTTATTACTTTATGTTTGTCTGTAGCAGATGGTGCCTTGGCTTCTTTCAGCGTTGTTCTAATGTTGCTTTTATCAACTGCAGGCAGCTGTTTTCAGCCAAACTTTTAATCAAACATTCATGTCTGTTTCAACAGTAGCTGGTGAAAACTGCAGAATTAACATCATAAATACTGCAAAAAATATTCCTTAAAGCACTGAGGCATCGCTAGAAATACAATTTAATTGTGTATCTATAAGAGGAATGTGCAATTGGTTGTTTGCAATCGAAAAATCCCAGTTGTTTTATAACAGAACAGAATATGTTAGCGTTAAAAACTATAATTTCTGTGAGACTGCCTAAATCATGAATTGCAAAAAAGTGTCTCATTAAAATTAGATGCACCTAGAACGAGACTCAAACGTCTTTTTTTCTCAGTGTCGTTGCCTTTCAGCTCACTTCTGTGCTGCCTTTTTTTTAATGCAGCAGATGCCAAACATTGCATAAGCACAGCAGCTCTATCTGTAAGACTCCTGTCATGCTTGAACGAGACCATTAATAAACATTTGCATAATAGAGAGCAAGGTTTAAAGCCCCTCAAGCCATTATGTATTTGAGACAGATAAAACCATTGTTTCTCATGCTTGGTGGGAAACGAGCTAAGAGCGGAAAGAAGGTTGACGAGAGAATAAGTAGCTTTAAAATTTGCCGAAGTGATTGAATAAAGGGATAAATGAGAGGAAGACGTGAGGTATGGAAAACCTTTTGTGGCATTTAGAAATTTGGGCTAAGGCTCAAAAAAAAAGGTGCAGAGGTGGATGAAATCCTCGAAGAAAAAGGGCATGTTTGTGTACATGTGGACTGTAAAGCTCCTTATGAAAAAAAAAGCCAGCACTATAAACTCAAAGAAATGTGTTGCAGGGTGAAATATAGAGCTACACATTCAGAAGCTGCGTGTTTGCTCTTTGAGCTTCCTGAGCAAACAAGCTGACAGAGGCTCAGGGATATATTTTTTCCTCCTTCTTTGAGATCCCTACATAAGAAAAAAAAAAACATCTTGAGGTTTGTATCCTATAGAGAACACAACTCTCTGACGAGTCAGAAAAACCCAGAGCTTTGTAATGTTCGTTTCAACAAGCTCTGCTTTGAGGAGAAGCAGAAACCCATGAGCCAATACAAATGACGACAATTAAATTCCAAGAAAGAAACTGAATTTTCTTTTATTTTATAATTTATGTCACTTTTTAAATAAAGAAAGCCCTCCGTTTCATTATTCACATTAAAACGTGGCTCCGCTTTTTTGGGGGTAATTAATCGCAACCGACGTTAATGACAAAAGAAAGCAACTAGACGTGCTTGAAGTCGCAAAAATTCAAACTTCTTGGAAATTTATGGGGCTTTCATCAAGTCGGCTGTGCAGCTCAGCGAAGAGTTTTTATCATCGGCTCTTCGATCATTTTAAACGCCTGTAATTCACCCCCCAAATTGTACCATTCGTTATTTGAAAACAGCGATAGTAGGGTGGGGTGGGGGGGGGCATGGATTTGTCCTGCCATATATCACTTCGTGTCATCATAAAGTCTGATTTAGTAGAAATGCAGAAAAAGAGGCCAAATGCTAAACATTGCACCAAAGATTCTCATCTGTGTAATATATGTGACAAAGTGAATGGATTGAGAAGGGCTGCATGGATCGTTGGGATCAACAAGACCGGACCACCCATGCTTTATTACCTACGTGTCATCTTTTAACAATCTCCGTCTCACTTTTCTACCTTGGAAACGTCCATTGCCAAGTTTAGCTATGAAGCTGTAGCTTAACTGTAAAAGTCATCTGTCTGCACCGATTGTGTCTGCTCCAATAAACAGAACTTGTTCAGAAACTTGTGGCTTAGAGAATTGGGTCCCCAAATGTCATGAAAGTAGATGGTCTTGAGGGTCAGATCATCCCGGAGGAACTGAACGGAGGAAAGGTGGTGTCGCAGAACGCAAAAGAGGTGTGGAAAACAAAAATACAGAATTAAACCTCACAAACAMAAAAGCAGAGGTCTGGACAAGAAATTAAATCCTGAAAAAAAACACTGAAGGAGAAGAAAGTGACCGATGGCACCGGGGTGAAAAAAYCACAAAGGGTGATTAGATTAAAACAGAAGTCAAACATGAAAATCCAAAACATAGAAAATTAAAAAATAATAAATGAAAGGGAATAATGGCAAAKCAAAAAATACCATAAAGTAACCAAAAAGCACAGATACTGAACAACTAGTGTGTTGAGGTTGTTGTTTTTTGTTTGTTTGTTTTTTTCATTTAGTTCTTATTTATTTAGCTTAGGAGTAATGTTTAAATCAATTCTGGTAATTGCTCCTATGTGGAGGTTTTGTGCTATTCACAAAGTTAGATTAAATTGTGATAAACTTAAATATTCACATTTTCAAGGGAAAAGAAAATAAGTACCTACTGTTTGAAGAGCTGCATAAAGATTTTAGAAAGAACATGTTGTGGCAAATCCCCATTAGTCAGTGATTCTACGGTGAAATCTAAACCCGTGCTGCCAGCTGCGATGAAAATTAACTTGGTATTGATTTTAGTTTTCAGCAGTGTATAATTGCAAAACCTGTCTCTCTTCGTTTCTTTCAGGTTTACCAGTACATGCATGAAACAATTACAGTCAATGGCTGCCCGGAGTACCAGGCGAGGGCCACAGCTAAGGTAAGAACTGTCTTCCAAATTCATTTGAGCTTCCATGGTTGGATTCCAAATATGATTTATCCATCCATCCATCCATCCATCCATCCATCCATCCATCCATCCATC